TGATTCAATGCGGCATAAAAAGTGAACAGCGCGATTATATTTTCTTGCGAGCGCTATACATTATTATGTATGGTCAGGCAGTGTGCTTAAATGTGACGGAATCATGACTGAATCGCACGCCTTTAAGTCTAACTTCACTTGTCTAGTATTGTTAAAAGTCCCGTGTGAAAAAGGCATTCTACAGCCAGGAGATATATTCGGCCTTTAAAAACGGACATCTCTAGTGCTAGATTACAGTAACAGCTGTGAAGCACATCACTCGTTTGCATCTTGACATGTCCTTGACATGAGATTCACATGAACACTGCCTTCGCGATATTCCCCACTTAGGTTCGGGGACGAAATCTACCAGAAATTTTTGAAAACGGACTGAAACCATGCTGCATAAACGTAACCAGCGCTATTGACATTTGTCTTGGGCGCGAAACCGGGGATTTCGATCAACCATGTAAGTAATATAGTCACTGCAGCATTTGACGAGTGTAAACGTCTGTTCCGCTAAAGTGAGTCAGTCGAGCCAAAAATAACCATTTCTTTAATGCCATCGACGACTGTTTGGTTTTTCCACGTTCATACAAGGCATTATTCCTTTTTCATAATTCGTCTCATCCACCCTAATCAAAATGCTATGAAGTCCCATGCCCCGCAGCCTGCCAAGTTGAAGTACATCGTAGGTTCTGATGACTAGTTTGTACCAAAGATGGAGTTATTCAGGAGTAGTCAAACTACACTACTCGGTCGGAAGCTGGTGAGCATGTGACATCTCTGAGCCAACTCCTAAGGCAGTACGCGTGTGACCAGTGGTGGCATTCTCACTGTCCCACTACTTCTGACTGGCAGTTGGTAATTCGTGGTTAACGTTTCCACGGGCTCATCTGGAATTGGGGCACAGGAACAACTGTTTTGGGATTCTGTATTACTTTCAAGTCCGGGTTTGTGTAAATGTGGCGTCATCTGTTAGCGTGGATGGTTGATCGAGACGGAACAACTCCAATAATCACGAGCACACAAAGTGTCCGGCAAAATAGCAGACATATAGGAAGACATAGGCGCCACAAACGAAAAGCCAAATAAACATTCGGGACAACCTGCATTAATGTGTCAAATATTTAATTTAGTTTCGGCGATAGTCACAATACCGGCCACAAGAGGCAAATCGAGTTTTGAGCTTGAAGCATTTGCCAGGATTCACGAACATATGACTTGTGTGCTTCAGATGGCAATGAATAGTTCATCTGCACGACATGAAGCAGCTTACATTGAGAAGCTCGGATGTGCGCCGAACTATATGGAACTTTCTTATATATATATATA